GGCGGGGGGGGAGAAGCGACGTAGGGGGGGACAGGAACAGAACTGGCCGAAGTGTGTGCTCGACGAACTGAAGGCATTCGGGGCCGACCACGGATCTACGAAAACCGATCCATGCTGTCTCGGAATCCCGGTACCGAAAAACACGGCACCGAAATTAAAATGGACGGAGGCCGCGAAGGTGGAGGGGGGAGTACCCTGGCATGCGGCCGTGCTGCAGGGAGCTGAGAGGTTCATGACCTCCTGGCACGAGAAGGAAGAAGAGGCCAGCCGACAACGAGCGCTCGAACGAGACCACAAGCCAACGACCAACGGGGCGGGAGGGGGGCAGGAGACGGACGAGACGGCGAGGAAAGAAAGCAAACGAGAAGAGACGGGCCGAGTGGCGCGATACGTGCCGGATTGAAATTATTTTAGCCAAATGCCCCCACGCAACGCTGCACCATTGCACCAACCCCCCACCAGTGATGACGTAACATTACAATGTATCGCTGGTTGGTGGCCATGTTTGCGTGTTTGCTTGTTCGTCAGTGTCTCTCCACCGTGTGCCTTTTTCTGTCTCATATTTCTTGCTATTTTCGGCCTGGTCCCTTTTTGCCTTTCTCTTTCCTTACTGTTTCCTTTTTTTTTTTCTCTTTTTCTCTTTTCTCTTTTTCTCGCTTTTGTCCTTTTTTTTTTCTGTGTCAGATGGCCTTGTCTCTGCTTACGTTGTGAAGTACCAAGATTGAACCAAGGGGGGGTACCTCTTTCTCTCTGGCCTGTGATGCTGACTCCTAGTCTCAGTTGTTACCTCGCGTAGCGCGCAGAGGGAGCGGAGGACTCCAGAATATCTGTCGTTGATTCTATTGACTAGCGGGCCCCTCGGGGCAAGTTTATTTGAATGTACCTTTTTAGGGTAAGTTAGCGTGTGACCACGGGAATCGACCGCGTCAAGTGTTGGTTCAGTACGGACATATGAAGGTACTGGGTAGAGAGAGATCGGAACGGCTTGTAATGTGCAGACAACATCAACAACAACAACAAGTCAAAAATCGGCTACAAATAAGGAAAGACGAGAAACGCGGAAAAAAATGAAGGGGCCGAGTTACAAACGAATGACATTTTCCATGTACCAGTGGTCACCTGTCGGTCAAGCTCTTCGTCCATCAGGCGGCTTTGCTCTTCTTGGCACTTCTCTAGTTCCGCCATCATCTGGGCATCCAGCTGCTTGTCCAAATCATCGAATATTTGACGTGATATCTCGTCATTGACCTGTGTCGAGAACATTCAAGCGCGCAACGCAATGCGGCGATGTATCATCAACTGCAGCACAGCGGTAGGTCTGAGATCCTTGCCAGGTGTTGCATAGAATATGCCACCGCGAGGGTTGATATTTCGTGCAATTGACTGAAAAAGTTCGGGACAAGAGCAAGGGCTCGCGAAGAAGATGCCCGAGCCTTGTGTCATGGCCTGTAGTGTTTTTTCTCTTTCCGTCGAACGACCCAAAACCCAAAAAGCTGCTACAGCAGTAGTGCATGTGAAGATGTTCCACACTCCAAAACTTGCTCTTTCGGAACTGGGGTATCGAAGACGCCACGGCATGACGTGGGCTCGAGGCTGAAATGAAGGCATTCACTGGTGTCGGCGCCGGCCGATGAAAGATAAATAAAGGATTGGACGTACGCCATTGCTTTGAATTCTACGTATGTATGCGAAAGATAGTTACTGCAGTAGAGCTCTTGGAAATTTTCCCGCGGTTAAAACTTACACAGGCTACCAGTCAAACCTCAACGTGTGCATCAAGGAGGAGCTTACGGAGGGGAAGTACTGTGTTCGCCTGGTTCCGACCAAGGGGGGATTACGCCGTTTGGCACTCATTCGGCATCAGGACGGGGGAGGATGAAAGGAACACAAAAGGTCGCGTTGAGTGTATATAACTGCTGAAGTGATGCCGTGAGAGCTCGTCAGGAGTAAAAACGCGAACGATGCGCGAGGGTGTTACCGTCAGCCCCACGTCAGCGCGGAGGTATGCACATGCAAGTTGATGTTTCGCCAGTTGCACATGTTTTCGTAGAGCGCTCCTCGGTCAAGCGGTGGACCCATGCATGTAATATTCCCTTCGATATCCTGCTTAAAACCAATCAATGAGCAGAGCAGTTTACCTGGTCTGAAAGCGCTTTCCACGGGTCGTGGTCTTCCACGCGACTGCCGGCTCGCATCGGCCCCCTTGCCGATGTCTTGGGTACACCGGTCACACCGTTGGAGTCGTCGTTGCTGCCTTCCGACGTAGATGCGAGTAATCTCGCGAGGAGGGTGTCAAGTGGATCATTGCTTGCCTCTAGACCAGGCGTCTTTGCCGCCGGCGATGTCATGTGTCCATCAACCTCACGATCACGTAGCCAAGACAAGGAGGACCTCTGCTGAGCAGTGTGCAGTTGGACGCAACCTGGCAGATTGCGGCCATCGCCCCTCTCCCGCCGAACGTAAATATACCTACCTCTGCAAGGACATGATGTACGGCGCCCCTGTGCAACAGCGGAGTTGTTTTTTTGGTTATTTTTGTTTGTTGTTTGCGATCGATGTGTCAGTCTGTGGCCACGTAAGCAACAGTCGTCAAGGGTCCCTCGGTGTGGCAACCGTGGAACACCCCCCCGCACCCCCCCATCCTCCCGGGCCAAGATTGACACGCAGGATGGCCACTTCAGGCGGCTCACATGCAGCAGCAGTCTGTTATATACTAGGATTTAGTGTGTCTATAGTAAAACCAGTATACTCTTCTTCATTGAATAGAGGCGACACCTTTAATCTGTAGGCTTTCGTGTCGTCGAACTACAACTATTTCGTACCCCATACTCTAGTCCTCGCGACCAAGTTTGACGCGTATTCTTGGGGTGTTTCCATATTTTCCACTAGCTCTGTGTGTGCGGGTTCTTTAGATCCTCAGATGGCTCTAGCACTTTCGTGACCACGGGCCGAGTCTTTGCTAGATTTTGGCATTTAGCAACTGGCATACGGTTTAATGTGAAGTCAACATCAACAGCAACATCAACATCTGTGTGGGATACCTACCGCGCGCGCACGCTGGAGAAAGCACCCGAAAAATGTCGAAACCCCAAGGATTTTGTCAAAATGTCCTCCGCGCGGGACAAGCAAGGTCTATCCCCCCCCCCCCCCCCC